ATAAGGTTAATAAACTGGAATACATGTAGTTGGAACTATACAAAAATACATAAAAAATAAAACAGAACAAAAGTTAGATCTTCTACATCGATGGAATCCCCCCCGCCCCCATCCCGACATACTCTCACACACTTCTCTGGTTATTCAAAATTTTGATGTCATTCTTTTGAACTTGAAAATTTGCTCCTTCGAGGTAGTCAAACTTTTAAATACATAATTCTGACAAACCTCTCTCAAAAGGGGTGTGATGTAGTGGGCTAAGATCTTTCCATCCTTAACTAAAGGTCTTGGATTAGATCTCTAGGAATGTTAGATCCTGTTGGTTGGGAGCACTTCAGGCCTAGCAGTAGGTTTCGGCTACCAAATGCCTAAAGCAAAAGGAAAAAACAAATACTAGCAGTGCTAGTGGTAATGATTTTTTCAAAGGACTTAGAACCACCAATACATAGCAGAGTTCGCAAATGCATCTAATATAGATGAGCAGTGATGCCTTATCCAGTTTGATGCTCATCTGCAATAATTAGCCTCTGGACCAAACATTACCTTTTCGATCTATGCTGACAACACAAAACCACTGGACAGAGTGCCCTTCAAGGTTCTGCCAAGTTGCAACTTTGCTAGCCAGCCAGCCGTCCAATCCGGGCAGAACATCCCTGCACCTTGGTATGTTAGCAAGTCTCATTTCGCCAACACCATTTCCTTGTGACAATGTGTCCCCTGTGGCCTTCAAAATCGTATGCTGCATGCACTTATTATGTTTCCCATTTACCTTGGGAATTTGAATACTACCACTATGGAGTTGGAAAATATCTTCACTACTCATCCTTGCAGATGATACATCCATAACATTTTTGAGGATTTTCTCCCACGAATGTTTGGTTCCCTTAGAGTAATCTGCTAATTCTTCCACTGTGATGTCCCCTTCAGACTCAGCAGCAAATTCCTTAACTGAATCCACAGTTATTTCAGATGCAGATAGTGCAGCTTGCTCTCTCAAAAACTAAAGAAAAGATGAGCTCCACATCATTAATTTGTAGTAGTAGCAGTACATGATAAATTTCCATTCTAACTCTACAGAGATACCTACTTTCATAATTTTGTGCCGGGCGCAACGAGTTTTTGCATGTTGAAGCCACTGTTTATGTCTCTGGAAAGCAGACTTGCTAGACAGACCCTGAAGAAAGGAAAATAACCGGATGCTTGTAAATTAGTTTTTTTTTAAATTTGGTGATGTTCCAGATGCTTGTAAATTACCAGCATGGTGAACTAATTACTCAAATGCATCAAGAAAAACTTTACAGAGCTTATAGAAAGAAACAAATGACGGCAACCTACATTTTGTTTGAAATGTCACTAGGTGCAACTTGTTTTCCCTACTTCCATTATGGAAGTTATTTTCCTCATTTTTAAGGAGCTTGTTTTCCTAAGGAAAATGTTTTACAAAATATTTGACCAAATGAACATGAGAAAATTGGAAAACATGAAAATGTTTTCCTTCATTCCGAACACACCCTAAATGAATCAACCCCCCACCCAGAAAAAAAACCACGAGCCCAAAAACCATTGTCCAGGAGCCCAATAGTGGTCCACTTCCACCTCACTTCCTTGGTGACACAGACTTCCAACCTTATGTAGTTGTGATCTTTCTTCCTCTGATATTGAAGGACAATTCACTAAATTTCCATCAGGTCTCCATCTTTCTGTTTCAGAATACAGTTTCTCATAAAACTGGATGATTCCCTCCCTTACGCTGTCTGGTTCTGTGATGATCTTCCCTCTACTTCCAACTGGTCAATATGGTTGCTTCTTTTGTGGGCATTTGCAGAATTATGGAAGAATTTTGTATTGTTGTCTCCTTCCTTCAACCACAAGATTCTAGACCTTAGTCTCCAAGCATATTCCTCATTTTTTATCAGTTCTTCGTACTCCATAAAGATCTCTGCCTTCAAAGTAGCCTCTTCCTCTGTCAATGCTCTTTTGTTCAGCAAAGAATCCAAATCTGCCATTTTGTTAAGCGACCTTTGAATCTGCAGATTTCCTTTTTCAATTTTACTCCACTCTTTGAGCTTTTCTTTCAGTGCTTTCATTTTACATGCTAGGATGTAGTCTGGCCTCCAATAGAAGGAGAAAGAGTTCCACCAGTTACTGATTTTCTCACTAAAACCTTCTGTGTTCAGCCACCAATTCTCAAACTTGAAATATGATTTACTATGTTGTGTTTTCATACAAAGGGAGTGATAGTTTAGGTAGACAAAGAGAACAATGGAGAATTGAGGTACGGAACTCATAAAAAAGTGATAGTTTAGGTGTGTTTTTGACCACTAACTCTAACTAAAATAAAGCTTTTTGGACTCAAATTTTCTTTCACATAATGAGATTAATTCCAGACAGGTGTAAGTTGGGAGGTGAGTAAACTTACACATCGGCGGAGACGACCTCTTCTTCCATATCGCCCAAAAGGAGTAGAGGAACACTGAGAAGGATGAGCTGTGCTGGCAAGTAACCCAGTCAAGGCCCTTGGCGCCTTCCAGGCACAAGATAACACACTACAGTCGAGTCTTCCACTCACATCTCCTTTCCAAGCCTTACATATATTCACACATTCGATAGAAACTGCATTGAAATTTTAACAAATCCACACATCATTCATGTTATCTCCAATGTTCTGACGAGCAATTTTAGTATATTTAGTGAACCTCCAGTTACAAAAAAACTCTAATTTTTCCTTGCAACACAAATTATTTAGCAATGGAATGAAACGAATGGAATAGACTTCACATAACTAAAATAACCTGAGCTTGACTAATTCACAATTAAGGTGTATATATCAATTGATTGACACACCATTCACACAAACTGAAACTAAACGGCTCAACTTCATTCGTGTTAGCTCCACGAGTAATTATAAGTAGCTTTAGTGAACCTCCAGCTACTGAAAATCTCTAATTTTCCCTTGCAACACAAATTATTTAGCAGTGGAATGAAATAGACTTGCATAACTTAAATAGCCCGAGCTCAACTATTTCGCAATTAAGACGTATGTATCAATTGATTGACACGTGAATGTTCACACATCATTCATATTAGCTCCACAAGTATATTAGTAGATTTAGTGAACCTCCAGCTACTGTAAACCTCTAATTTGTCCTTGCAACACAAATTATTTAGCAGTAGAATGAAATAGACTTTAGGTAACCTAAATAGCCTGAGCTCGACTAATTCACAATTAAGGTGTATGTATCAATTGATTAACACACCATTTTCGCACAATGAAATGAAATTCATAATCGCAGTGATTACCTGACATTGAAGTAGCAGAAGCCATGTCTATTCAAAAGCATCGGTACACAGTAGTGAAGAAGAATTGAAACGCAGGCACTTAAGGAAAATCAAGCCAGCCGGAACAAAAACTCGTTCATCTGGAAACACAAAGATGCAGCAGATACATAAACATATTCGGCCGGAGAGTAAAATCACAGCGAGTGAAAGGGAATCAAAAGATGATTCGCATTCAGAGCTGCTGCTGTTGCTGCGATTGCGGTCAGGCAAAAAGTGTGGAATTCAGAGAAATTAGGGAGCAGAAGTATAAGCCAATGGTGGATCTAGCGAGCGAATATGAGAGAGAGAGCCAACAAAAATGGCAAGGAGATAATCTAGAGAGGGAGAGATATTTCAGTCGCGGAGATTTCAGCCTAAGACCACAAGATTTTTTTTTTAAAAAAAAAACGTTTGATAAATATATATTTTTTCTCAATATTTTAATTAAACTCTATTTTCTTCTTTTTTTAAGACCTTAAGTACTGAATTAATGAAATTACACCTATATCGCGAACTAAGATTTCATTTTGATTTATTTATTTTCAAAACTAGCATTCCCCTTTCATGAAAAATTGATGATGATGTTTTGAGACTTGGAGATTATAACTTACGTTTATTTAAGTACTTTCAAACATTTATTGATGTTGAGTTGTTATGAAACTTTATGAGTTAAGTTTGGTAGTTGGAGTTCCCATTTTACTTGAGTAAGTCTCCCACTAAGTAGTCAGTTAGGCCAAGGGTTCGCTTGGGGACCGGCGATGATTTCCAAGTGCGAGGATGTGAACACCGTAGCTGAAAATGCCAAATCAACATCCCAAGCGACCATTTTCCTATACGAAAGCGGAAACGATGTCCAAGGTGTAGGTTCGGGACGTGACATTCCTTCCAAATTATTTGCCACTTAATTTTGTTCTAGTAAGTGTAGCTCAAAGATTTTATTTAGCTTGTGGAGAAGATATATGCCGTCATTTAAGATAAGAGATGTAAGTGTGGGATTGTAACATTGTGCAATACTATTGCTCGGTTTGTTCCAATTAAATGTGGATCGCGACTGGAGGGTTACATTTATTCTGGGATGATACTATCAACAAAATTTTCTTCATACTCAATTCAAATTTGAAACGGATTAAGGGTAAAGCAATCCATCAATGCACCACAACTCATATAAGTAAATAGAAGAGCTACTGAGCTAGTTGAAGTCCCTTCAAGTAACCCTACTTTATTAAATTTTTAGCACATATATGTTAATTTTGAAAAAAATAACCCTACTTTTAAAAACCTTACACATAATAATCTATAGGGAAAATTACATGAAAAAACTAACTTATATCAATAAATTACTTAAAATAGCTTACTGTTTGCTTTATTTACCATTCGCCACTTACTTTTTGTCATAATTACGGTTGTCAGTTTTTGTATAAGCATTGCCTTTTTTTACTCGGCTTCACACGCTACTTGTGAGTCTCTGCATAATTTTCTTTTACCCTTTTTACCCAAAATTCAAAATTTCAGTCTCTCCCTCTCAATTTGTTCTCTCAGATTTTTCAGGTAATTGTTTTTCCGGTTTCATACTTATTTCATTGTTTTTGTTTTTGTATAAAACTGTGGATTTTTTTGTTCCTTTTCAGTTTTTTGATTTTAGACATTCAAAATCATGGATGAAGAAGAAACACCTTCTAAGAGAATCACTATAGGTATACAATCGAATCAAGAGTTTTTGGATGATTTTTCATCTTTTTCTTTGGGTTTTAACTCAGGATTTCCAAGAAATTTCAGGGTCCATTGCTAAATCTCAAATTAATCAACAAGAGGGTATGTCGAAGTCTGGTAATACCCCATTGAAGATGAAAGAAGTCATGCATGTTGCAAAATCAAAAGGAAAGACCAAAAAATTGGATAAACATAAAGAAGACAAATCAGTAATTATTGTATTTTTTTTATGTTTGTTTGGAATCTTGTATTAGCAGTAATACTTTTTGAATATTCCAGTTTGATGGGAACAACATTTTGTTGGCTCTATTATTTTGTTTAATGAACTCAGATTTGCGTTTTTATTTGTTGATGTTTCATATATTATACAAATTTTTTCGTGAATATAAACTGATATATACTAATTTATACAGATAAATAGTTTGACATATTATACAATAATATTTGAATAATTATATAACTTAATTGAGAAATCATTATTCAAACGCAATTATTACTATAGAAAATTGTATATATACCTATATATTTGTTCCCCTCTCTCACTTTATACAAAAACACAAATGTGTAAAATGTGTTTTTGTTTGTATAAATCAAGAGAAATTGTATATATGCATATATTTTCGTTCCCCTCTCTCCCTTCTCCAAGATCTCACTCACCACTCTCCCACATCTTGCTCCCTCACTAGCCTCTCTCACTTTATACAAAAATGCAAATGTATAAAATGCGTTTGTATTTATATAAAGCGAGAGAAAATTGTATAAATACATATATTTTCGTCCCTCTCTCTCCCCTCTCTCAATTTATACAAACACAAATGTATACATTGTCTTTGTGTTTGTATAAAGCGGGAGAAAATTGTATATACAGATACAAATGCATATATTTTCGTCCTATACACTTTTGATTATACAAATACGATTTTCTCCTTGCCCAGTTTTTTTTTGTCTTTCTCTCTTTCTCGCTTTATACAAACACAGATTATACAATTGATCTTTTGTATATGTATACCAAAGCAGATTATACAATTGCTTTCTTTTGTATAAGAACACTAATTTATACGTAGTTCAACTTTCATAAAATTCATTGTTCTGATAACACCTATCGAAAATAGTTATACATAGTGGGTACCTGTTAAATTCATTTGTAAATAGTGTTACATAGGGGGTACCTGTTAAACACCAATCGTGATCATGTATCTATACAACTCAAATAATATTCAAATGTCAAAAGTGAGGCAATATTAAATGTATAAAATCATCATAGACATTTCAAATTGAATCATTTCTAAACTTCCCGAGGTTGATTTCTACAAGAACGCTTATTGTGACTTGCAATACCACATGTACTGCATGTATTTGTCCCCTTAGATTCAAACATCTCTCTTGTTGATTTGTCGCGAGCCTTTTTTCTTGGTCTTCCAGGAGGCCTTTTGAATTCTGGAGGCAGAACTAAATCAGTCATTATGTATCCAGGGACCACCCACTCTGTTTTATTTGGCAATGGGTATATTGGAAAACCATAAGTCTTCAACACTATTGTCGGTGTGTATAAATTCTAGCAGAACTCATCTGGTCCTAAACTCTTGAACTTCAGAACATCCCAAGCATGTTCACATGGTATTTCTTCATACTGAAATCTTCCACAAGTACACCTTTTCTTCTGAAGACAAACTATATCATTTCTACCTTTATCATTAACATTGTGAACATATTCAGTTGACAGAAAAACCTGCAATATACAAAAATAGATCAAAACAGATTATTATGTACAAATATATAGAAACCATACCATCAGTCGTGTACTCATTGCTTCATTGATTTTGAGTATCTCCTAAAATTTTCCAATCAAGGGAGTAAATGTGAATGATGCCTCTTTTTTTTGTTATCACAATTCCATCTGCCAAACATCAGCCTAACTTCCTCTAGAAAATCATAAATTGGCAATTCTCTTGCTGAAACTAATGCCGCATTTATACTTTCTGCGATATTCGATGTCATTGACCAACCACGATAAACTGGTGCATAAATCCTAGACCACTTATCATATCCAGCTAACTCCAAGTATTCATTTACTCGTATAGCTACCTTCTCTACTATCTTCATTAGCCTATCAAAATCTGATTGATTGGATGTCTTAGCCATTGTATAGAATACTGGACTTAATTTTTCATGGGATTTTCTGTACTTTGTCTGAACATTCTTCCAAAGGTGCCACGTACAAGCATAGTGTTGCACATCATTATACACTTGCATAACAACCTTTATGATGCTATCGTTTCTATCAGACACAATACACATATTGTTCATTTCCCCATACGATTCTCTTAGTTGTTCAAAGAACCATGTCCAAGAGGCATCATTCTCTGAATCTAAGACACCGTATGCTAGTGGAAATATATGACCTACACATACATATTTATACAGTTACAGAATTGCAGATTATAAATATATATATATACAAAGAGTTATGTATACCAGTCATTTAGAATTCATATATGTATATATAGTATAAAATACATATTTATATACTTGCACCGTCAGTCGTGCTTGCTGCTACAAAAGTTCCATTATAAGGTCCTCAGAGGTGACTCCCATCGACTATGACTACAGGTCGACAATGGTCAAATCCTTTGATGAAAGGATCCAATGCAACAAATAGGTACAAAAACCTATCTTCATCTGTTTTCTGCAAGCGTATATGGGATCCTAGATATGTAATACCCAATATATACAAATACTCAGGTAGTTTGCTGTAGGATCCTCCTGGCGTGCCCCTCAAAGAAATCAAAGCCCTTTCTTTAGCTCTCCAAGCCAACATGTAAGTTATATCAACACCAATATCCAGCTTCATATCTTTTTATGTCAGCAGGTGTGTATTTCCTTTTATGATCTACCAATTTAGGCTTAACAATTCCTCCAACTAAATTACTTATTACTTGTCATTATAAATACACCCTATCTTTCAGTGAACATTTATGTTCAGCGTTGAACACTCTTATTCTAAACATTCCTGATTTGTTAATATCTGAGGCCTTCATTAACCAATCACATTCATCGGAGAAACACACAAGTGTATAACTACACGTAAAATAACCAATATATACAGATAAGTCAAAATTATACACCTAATAACAGTTGAACAGATTTATACAAATGATGTTACCTGATTGAATTTGACCTTTTTGTTTTAAACTGAAATTGATCCGCAATTGCATATTGCTCCATCATACACTTCAATGTAGCTTTATTATTGTATACTTGATCTACCTTTACATACTTATGTGATTGATCAGTACTCACCACACTGCAATTCTCCATTTGAAAGGTATCGAGGGGATTTACTATCTCTGCAACTGTCAGTTTCTGTTTTTCAAACTCCTCAAAACCAGTTATACAAAGTGATCCAGAAATACCAGATGCTACTGTAGTTGAACTTTCACAATGTTCATTGTTCTGATAACACCTATCAGAAATAGTTATACAAAGGGGGTATTTGTTAAATTCATTTGTAGATTTTTTTAGCATTACATATACCCGCACCCCCATCTCATTGTGTATCACCATCCTAGTACTGCTCTGATCAACCTTATATTCAATTTTTAGTACCTTCACAGTCACATCCACAGCTAGTTGAGTTGCAATTATATTATACAACTCTGTAAATGAGG